TGTGGGTAATAGTAGCAGCAGCTGCAGCAGCAGCAGCTGCAGCAATAGCAGCAGCACAGCAGAAACTGTTGAGACTGCAGCAGAAGCAGCAGCAGCAACAGCAGCAGCAGCAGCAGCAGGTGGAATAGTAAGGCAGTGGCTGCCCCGTTGTCAACTGCAGCCGCAATAGCAGCAGCAGCAACAGCAGCAGCAGCAGCAGCAGCAACAGAAAACATAGCAGCAGCTGTAGCAGCAGCAGCAATAGCGACATTTGTGGCAGCAGCAGCAGCTGCAGCGATAACTCTATGAGTTACCCAGCCAAATAATATATATATATGCAGTAGCTGCAGCAGCAGCAGCAACAGCAGCAGCAGCAGCAGCAGCAGCAGCAGCAGCAGCAGCAGCAGCAAGAGGAGGCTGTCGATGGTAGCAAAGCCTGAGGAAGAAGAAGCTGAAGGGTTCCTCCCTGCATGCGTCGCTGCGTCAGAAGGCGGCAGCAGCAGCAGCAACAGCAGCAGCAGCAACAGTAGCAGCAGCAACAGCAGCAGCAGCAGCAGCAGCAACAGCAGCAGCAAACGCGCTGCGAAGCTGCAGCAGCAAGAGCAAGTTATGCTGCAGCAGTCTGAGTGGCACTCGCAGGACCATGACGAGGCCGCAGCAACAACAGCAGCAGCAGCAGCAGCAGCAGCAGCAGCTGGAGGAGGAGGAGAAACAGCAACAGCAGCAACAGCAGCAGCAGCAGCAGCAGCAGGAGAAGCAGCAGCAGCAGCAGAAGCAGCAGATGATGAGGTTGAGTCTCTATACTCTTACTACTCAGCTCCTGATTGCCTGCAGCGAACGGAGACGAGCTGCTGCTGCAGCCCGTTTGCTGCTGCTGTCTGCTGCAGCCCCAGCAGCAGCAGCGATGCAGCAGCAACTGTAGCAGCAGCAGCAGCAGCAGAACAAACGGGGGAGTTTATTGAGTGTATAAGGAGAGCAGCAAGCAGCGGCTCCACCCCATCACCATTCCTGCTGCGGGCCTCATCTGATGCTTACCTGCAGCAGAAGCTGCAGCAGCAGCAGCAGCAGCAGCAGCAGCAGCAGCAGCAGCAGCAGCGGCAGCGTTCATCACCTGTAGAAAGCTCGCATGCAAGGAACGATGAAACTGCAGCAGCAACAGAGAGGCAGCAGCTTCTGCTGCCGCAGCAGTTCTTGCTGCAACAGCAGCAGCTGCACATGCAGCTGCAGCTGCAGCAGCACGAACAGCAGCACAGACAGCAGCAGCAGCAGCAGCAGCAGCAGCGGGGGACTCCTCTCAGTCCTATCATCCAAAGGGAAGGCCTCCATCTCGGTATCAGCCCTGTGAATGCCTTGAGCGAGCAGCCGCAGCAGCAGCAGCAGCAGCAGCATGAGCTACAACAACAGCACAAGCAGCAGCAGCAGCAGCAGCAGCAGCAGCAATCTCATGAGCAGCAGCAGCAGCAGCAGCAGCAGGAACCGTCACGGCAACAAGTGTTGCCCTCCGTTAGTTGTCGTTGGCCTGAAGCCTCAGCCGAATCCCCAGCAGCAGCAGCAGCAGCAGCACCAGCAGCAGCAGCAGCAGCAGCAGCAGCAGCAGCAGCAGCTCGGCTCAAGGGCCCCCCTCAGCTGCTGCACGGCAGCGCCCACCACGCGAGCAGCGCCTGCCGCCGGTCGCGGCGGCCTTCGTTGCCAGTGCGCTGCCGTTTGCTGCTGCAGCAGCACCTGCAGCTGCAGCAGCTGCAGCAGCAGCAGCAGCAGCAGCAGCAGGGGAATGCATCATACGACTCCAGCAGCTACATGCATCTGCGGCACATGCAGCAACCTGCTGCTGCTGCTGCTGCTGCTGGCGCCTTTCGTCGCTGCCTCTCCTGTGATGAAGGCTTTACAGATAAGGATCAGCAGCAGCAGCAGCAGCGGCTGCTGCTGCTGCTGCACTCAGGGGCGTCGATGAGCAGCAGCAGCAGACACAGCATCAGCAGGAGCCCCACACTCCGCTGCAGGTCAGCTGTACATACACCCCAAACAACTGTCTCTCTGCCTGCTGCAGAAGTTGCAGCGCTTGCAGCAGAAACACCACTAGCAGAAGCAGCAGCAGCAGCAGCAGCAACTACAGCAGCAGCAACTGCAGCAGCAGCAGAAACTGCAGCAGCAGAAACTGCAGCAGCAGCAGCTGCAGCAGCAGCTGTAGACAATGGAGAGCCCCAGCCTACATGGAAAATTGCCAAGAGATCCCCCAGGAGCAGCAACGACAGCAGCAGCAGCAGCAGCAGGAGCAGCAGCAGCAGCAGGAGCAGCAGCAGCAGCAGCAGCAGCAGCAGCAGCAGTAATTGTGCGGTGGAGTCAAGGAGCCTCCAGCCCACCCCTTGGTTGTCCCCAGCTGCTTCCGTTTCAGGCGAGCCACAGCCACCTGCTGCTGCATCAACAGCAGCAGCAGCAGCAGCAGCAGCAGCAGTAGTAGTAGTAGAAACAGCAGCAGCAGCACCAGCAGCAGCAACGGCAGCAGACCATGCCGCTGCAGTCGTAACACCCTCTCTCCAGCTGCCAGCCTCGCGGAAGCAAACGATGCATGCGGGGGGGGAAGAGAATGCGCATCACCAGCAGCAGCAGCAGCAGCAGCAGCAGAAGCAGCAGCAGCAGAAGCAGCAGCAGCAGCAGCAGCAGCAGC